GTGTGCGCCTTAACGAGCTGCGGAGAGGCTTTTCGGCTGCTTAGTGACAGCTGAAACCAGCACCGTTGGCAGTCGGGACTTGAGAACAGGTTTGGTGGCGACGGCGGAAAGGGGGGCTTGTTGCGTGTGTTCAGGATGATCGGTAGAACGATACCTCCTGTCCGCGGTGCCCATAAGCCGAACGTCAGAAAGGGCGCTTGTGGCGTGCAGCAACTGAGAGCGCCGTGCACTTAACTGGCACGAACGTTGAGCATTACGTTATGCTCACGATGCATAATACATCCAGCCGTACGCGAGAATTGATTGCTGGTGATTTACGCGACGGTAATCACATGCAAACGACGTGCTCTTACATGCGCACGAGAGAACAAAACTGTAAAACCAAGAATACAATTCGGGAGAGAAAAAAACATGACAAGAAAAATCGAATACAATCGCAACCCCGAGTCGTGAAAAGTAATCGAACCGCTGGCGGAGTGAATTGTACAATGCCTTATGGATACGCCGTGGCAATGTGGACGTAAGTGGCCCCCACTTCTCAATTGCCTGGGTGTCTGCATAACCTCAGCCGTGAGCCACATTCAATTACGTAAAGAAAATAGGACGCGTCTGAACACGCCGATTAAGCTTCCTTCCTCTCGACAGGCAGCAGCAGCAACAGGCACAGGGCCCTCTACCCAGAACCGAGAGACCTCTCCTTCTCAAGACGCGGAGCGGCAACGAGGAGGCCAAATACAGTGAGGAGAGGGAGGCCGTTTGTGTCTAAAGGTGTCTGTAAAGTGGTGACGCTCAAAGCGCAATTCATTTGAAGCAAGCGGTCAAAGGAAGGGGTCAATTTTGAAGCCATTTCTCCATCAAACAGCACTGTATTTATAACCCATTTCACACACACACAGATGGACAAACTGGTGGATTTCCCCACACTTGCCGACCGCACACACACACACGGACACATGTATAGACACACACTCTTCATCAGACACGAAAGTCGCTGCTACGGGTAGCTGTGTGCATTATGCACCACGAGGCAGCTGTGTACATGCCGGTGGGTGCAAGCTACAGTACTGTATGTAGCCTTGCGCGCAAGCGAGACCCCGCACGGCCGGCACAAAACGCCGCGCCGGCTTTGAGGGGCGACTGCGCCAGGTTGTGCTGTAAAAGCGCTGCTCAGAACTCAGGCGTGGACTCGGGAGAAAATAGCCCCTTGGTAACGCACGCACAGCTGGACTACTCCGCATCGCCGGGTCGCGAGGCCATCACCATCGGCGGGACCCCGGGCCGCTGCATTATGTATGCCCGTCAAAGACACTCGGGTAGCCCTGCTTCCCCGAAGAGAACGTGGAGGCGAGTGCTGTTGGGAACCACCTGTTAAGACCGTAACGGGCCAAGTCGGGGTGGTGCGGCCGGAACCATTGCTGACACACTTGTTTCCCCTGTGCTTTTGCTGGCATGCCACACAAGCTACTCAAATGTGGCACAGTCAACCTTGGGGAAGGCCCTGGACAGGTTCAGAACCTACTTGCCACCGATGTGCATCAAAGCTGGTAATCTATCCCTGGTTGGCAAGACGGTAGCGGAGGACATCACAATACTGCTTTCCCAATATTCCTTCCCTTTCAACCCCCTAGGCTTAGAACACCTCAATCCCTCCCCTCTACAATAACCGCACAGAATTAAATGACAGTCTTCTCCACACAGGTACACCGCGTTATTTGTAAAGGATCTTGAGATATACTGTAATAGCATTTCGATGCTTTAGAATATCTAAATTGTATTTTATTAAAAATTGGTACACAGAATCTCACACACACAAACTGTACAACCACAAATACGTGTGAACTATACTGCTTGAATAATGTCTTAAGCGCGTAAACACTGCGAAACTAAACACTACACACTATCATTATTTATCCTCCTCCCGTAACCACAGGGCTCCCCTGCAGTTGTTGTTTTTTTTCCACAATGCTGACAGAAGGAATCCTACCGACACAGATTATTTAAAATGTTTTTTTTTTCAAGAGCGTACAAAACTGGCTACCCTAAAGGAAATGGCACACGTGCTCTGTGGGTCAGTAGTACACACACAAACCATGGCAGATGCGGACACCTGATGCACAGGAAAAATAAAAACTCATTCCAGTGTGCGACTGTGGGCATCCAGAACAGACCATACAGCAATGTAACGACGCAACGCCCGATCCACAAATACGCAGGAGATATCGCGGCGGTACACTTCGCTGCTCCCGACACAGTTGTTTGCCTTCACCACCTGAATGTGAAATTGTAGTTGTTACTCTGCATATACATCAGCAGCCATATGAAAGAAGTAGCAGTACACACTCCACCCACCCCACACTGTATTCACAGGATAGCGCGCGAACCCAACTGGCATTACGTAATGGTCCCGCGGTTTCAAAAAAAAAATTCTCAGATTGATATGAAAACCTTTTTCTTTTCCCCCAATAAACTACGCACCAAGTTTCGCTGCCCACACTCGGGGATTTCCCAAAGTTGGCGACGTTCGGCACAGTTTGAACGGAACAATAGCCTCGGCGATGACCGAGAGGTCAGTTGGGAGAAAACCTTAACTGGATCATTTTACTGCTCACCCACAAGGCCGAAAAGCAACGTGGAAATTTCCGCTAAGTTGTCGAAAAATGTGTCCACATGTACAAAGGCCAACAAAAGTCAGTTACAAATCCTATAACTATGACTCATCCTCAATAAGTCATACACAATGTATACAAAAATGTACAAGGCACCGCGTTATGAGGACACGCCACGCCTTTGATGGTCCGGCTGCAGTGAGTGTGGTTGAAACCAGCCCAAGGTTACATTTTTTTTTTAAGAAATGCTGCTGGGGACACAATCTGGAAAAGCCCAATATGCTGGTGAATTAAATGTTATTTCCTTACACTGATTGAACAACCACCCCTTCCCCACCCCCCCCCCATTACCTACTTGTCTGTTTTAATGTAGGTCATCAACACAGCAAGTTTCAGCAAATAACGATAAGAAACATCCAGAGGTGAGTGACCATCGTGGACTATTACTGCCGGTTTTTATTTTTCCAGGTAAGGCCCACTAAGCTATATCGCTCTTTTTCAGAAGCGACCTAGCCACAATTAATTGATAGCCCACGAAGTGGCCTTATCATGTGGAAATATATAGCAGCCAAATACTCCAAACACATGTGGATTTTAAATGTGGATGGAAAAACTGGCGGACCCGGAAAAAACTCCACACGACCACGTGGAGAGACATGCAAACTCCAAATATACAAGTGCCAGGGTCGGGATCGAACCCACGAACTCCTTCATAGCAAGTTAGGTAGTTAACATCTTGGCAACGTGTAACAGCCCCCCCCCCCCCCCCCCCCCCATTACTGACATGGCTGTGTTAATGCAGGTCGTCACTGCAGCAAGTTTCAGAAAATAATGATAATAACAGCCAGAGGTGAGTGACCATCGCAGACAGTGACGTTACCCGAACGTGTTGGAGGCAGCCAGCTGTAGGTTTTGAGCACTAAGAAACGTCTTCGAGTGTCAACAGCCATCGTATACAAGGGCAACTTTAACAGGAACCTAACACTCACCCAACTGTCTCTTACTGGGAACAACTGCCACCCATTAAAGCAAAGTGTTCTAAACACTAGCGCAATAAAAAAAAACTTGAGAAAGAAAGGGAAGATAAATGACTGTTTTCAAATGTTTAACAGCAGAGGTCAGGTCTGCTATGTGACCCTGGCAAACCTTTTGGTCGGACCAAAGGTTCGCCTTCCAAGGTCCCGTTAGGTTCCGACAGCTCTGTGGAGAATGACTCGAGTCCACGAAAGCCAAGACACGTATCCCATCTCAAGGGCACAGATGAAAATACATGCAGTTTTGCAGGTGGGAAAACGGACTTCGTTGTTAGAAATTATTATCAAAAATGCATTCAATAAAACGAGAGGCTTTCCGCGGCTCTATCCGCGAAACCAAACAATGTGCATGTTTACCTCGCTGCTCGCCAAAGAACACAGGAGGCTACGAAGATATTCTTTGATGGGGGGAATTCAGTCAGCAGAACTGTTTAACATCATGAAAATTCTATTTTTAACTAACCCCAGCAGTTACACCAATTGATAACTTCACTCCACTCAAATTTGTTTGCCATTTCGCATCATATCCGTGCTTGTTCGCGGTTATAATACACACGTATTTTAAGCACTTTGTTTACAAAGAGAGCAGCATGCAGCGGTGTGTATGCAAATTAAGATTTTAAATGCACATATATTTAGTGCAGCAACACTAAAGCCCGGATGCATTCACCCCCCTGGAGATTGGATCAATCGTCACGATTCTGGCTCGCGATTGGATTCGAGAGTAAACGTGGCGAATCTAGCGGCCGCAGCAAGGGTCATGTAAACCGCATTACATGCAACATATACAAATAGAACATTAGCGATTCTTACATGTGCATGTAAATCCATGTATTATTAAGGCCGAGCTTAACAGCAGCACTGGCATTGTAGAATTTAGGCATAAACAAAACAGCCCTTCACCGCCTGAACATCGGTGACACTCTCAACCACAAAACAACATCTGCACGTGTCATCTTTTGTCAAATATCCTACTTGTCTCTCCGTTCTTAGCCCAATAATAATACGTGACCAGAATTTTTACGCACTTTCTTTTTTATCTTGTACTACAATGTGTTTGTGGCACCAAGGACACAAGACAACTTGTTTGCCATCTGAATTGTCACAACAACAGCAAACAAGCATTCTTTACTGCGATATAATATTACTCGCGTACATTCTTTTATCAGGGCACACGTAACCTTTTTTTGGATAATGTATTTTGAATATTTATCACCATCTGCCATGTAACGTGCATGAGCGCACGGCCACCTACACAAAATGTAAACGAAGCACCGCATCCACTCCGGCAGCTGCGGCCAGCCGGCTACTCCGAGCAAACAAAACAAACGCAAAATAACAGTCATTTGATGTGATGTACCTTTTTTCGCTGGTTGACTTGGAGTTTTTATGAGGCATGTAGGTCAGAGTTCTGTGTAAAAAAATCGGCTGGAAACAAAAAGAGACACGCAGAGATGTTCCTATTAGAATGGTGACAGTGCATGCCTCCACACGGGACACATCTTCTTGAGCAAACTAAGTGAGCCAACGTCACGTTTAGACCTTGGATAGACCAGGAATGGCCAAAGTTTACCAAAAGGGAGGTGGTGGCATTAGCAGGTTGGCCCACGCCTGAGTGTGGGAGAAAACTGGGAAATGCTTTCTGCCTTATTCGGAAACACGGATAGGGAATCGTCAACATAACCAGAGCACTTCATCCGAGGCTGGTGGGCAGGAAAAAATATACGTGCGCTCTTCCAGACAACAACATCCCCCGTGAAGGCACGGTCTGCGAGCAAATGTCCAGAAACATTTCATAACGGATAGGGCGCAAAGAGCATTCAGCCTCAATGCCACAACATAACGAAACAATTAACAATATAAAGGTACGCTTCACAAGCAGTGGGCAAAACTCTGGGACACGGTAATTAAACATTGAGAAGTTGCCAAGGATTGTCTTGAGTTTTTCCAGGATTGTGCCGCACGATTCGGTCTAGTGCTCACAGCATGACAAACCAATGATACCTCTCCTAAAAATACACCACGCGTTTCAATTGCACGTTTCACTCTTGGCAATGGATCATCGGCAGAAAAACCAGTCTGCGTTACAAACAAACATACATAATTATTGGGGTTATGTCGCCAGGTGAATGTGCGTCTGAGTGCACTCACCGCTATTAGGTTTCTTGTCCGGAGAAAGCGGTAAATTTGAGTTGGCTCTGCAAAAAAGCAATCATGCCAAAAGATAAGACATTATTGTACAATTACGCATGCATAAACATTCTTGGTGCGTGTGCATGTACACACTCTATGGTTGTGTGTGTACACAACAGAACACACAAAGATCGTGTACCTACACGGTGTGTGAGCAACCAATAGCGCGACAGCACGTTGTGTGAAGTGAAATATTTGACCTTACAATTCATGCATTTGGATCTAGTGGCCAACATGGACAGGAGGCCACGATGAGAAGCTATAACGTCGTGGTACCTGCTGCCTTCAAGTAAAAGCAGCTTCTCTGTCATACGTTCCCTTTCAGTGAGACTTGCTCTGATGTCAATTACCAAGTCCACGTACGAACAAGCAGAGGTACACGGGTATTTATTTAGAAAACATCGACATGTTCACGGGAAAACATGAAATGCAACAGCTTAAAACACACACACACCATGCAATTGTGTACAATGTTAAATTCTCTAGGGCAATGTACTCGTTGGTATTAAGCCATTTGTTTTGCAATTGTTTGATAATACGGTTTACAATTACATTTAATATCCTCCTCCCATGCACTGAGATTTGTTTTTACTTTAAATAAAAATTATAAGGTCATCCTTCAGAGACATTGTCATCTCAGTGGACTTGCATGCTTTAAACTGCGCTCATACGTTGCGTGTAAAATAGACGTATGACTTAAGTCTGCCGTCACCTTTTTAAAGGACCTGTTTATAACAGGGGTGCACACACCTCGCAGTGTCCACCTGTACTCGGGTGTAAAGCACACAAGATGTGTTGTATGCGCAGCAAAAAAACTACAGATGCTCACACAAAAGTATGACTTTACGAGCTTGGCGTGCTACGCTTGTTGGAGAATTCATCAAATTTCTTAGACCACCAATTCCGAGAACAAGTGTCGCCAGATAGGGTGGATACAGCCCCACCACCACCAATGACGCTGCCTATCCCGCTCGTGCTGCGATCAGCAGTTAACCTGGCGCAAGCCTACACCCCCGTTCACTTTCCTCGCGAGGTGTTTGCTTTGGGGCTAGCTTCTAGCTAGCTAGTAGCCAGGCTGCATCTATAAACAGTGCTGCATAACGCACCTAGACTGCATCAAATACTGCACACGCAATGCCTCTCTCGCAAGTTCACAAACAGGCGACTGCATTTCATGACGATGCACGGTGATGACAAAATGGGCGAGCTAACTGCCAAAGAGAACATGTGGTGATGGTGGCGGCGTGTGGATGTTTATGTGAACGTGTGTATGTGGGAGCAGCGTAATTGCTGCTGGCTCCTGAGTAAGGGCAGTGGCCTGAAACGTCTACTCAGGTTTTTTTCTTGCTATGTATCAGGAAAATTACATGTTCGTTTTTACATTGTATGTGTGTATGCACGTATATACACTCGCATATATATGTATGTGTATATAAATACACAAACATGTACCCTTGTATTTGTAACGGGTTATTTGAAATGGCACTATGCAGGTTTAGGTCTGTACACTGAAATATGTTTGTGGCTGATAGGGCCAAGTTTATTTGCAAACGGAGTACATTATTTCGTTAAGTGGCGAGGTCAACGTTTTGTTTGTACTCTGGCAATCTCTGCACCTGTGTGTGAGCACGTGTGTGGACATGTCCACTCATTCATGTGTTTACATGTCTGTAAACTAGATTTACTTGCTGTGCATATATGCACGTGTGTATACACGTAAAATTACATGGCGTGTATGGCTACATGTACATGTCACATATATGAATTGAACGATATATCCATGGAGGCTGCATATATATCAACTCTTTACACACGTCTGGGTAGATGTGTCAATATTAAACCGTTTGGTACACACCTGTACAGGTGTATACCAAACGAAACCCTTGTTTGCGTGTGAAGATTGTGTAGGTTTGGGGAAATATAAATACCTTACGCTATAATTTGCAACGTTTTGGACAATACAATGTCTATTTTGTCTGCTACTTATAGTATATATGCATACGTTTTACAATGCATGTGTGCATGGTACGTGTAAACATTCTGCAAATATTTAAGAAAATGTTTCCTGTGATTTTTGGATATATCTATGTGTTTGTGTACAATGTGTTTCCACTAATGTCAACCCATTGCATGTGTAATGTGTTTGTGCATTAACATTGTGTTGGCGTGCAAACGCAGCGGATTCACATGGGTACACGCGAATACGCAGCGGATCTTACTGGTGCATGGTATGTACAGTACAGTATTTAAGTTGTTTTGGGTGTGCACGTTGTTTGTTTAGAATACACACGTGTGTGTAGTACACGCATGTGTACGTCCTGCATACACTGCCTACACATTGCGCACTGCGTGGCCTGTACCAATGCACGTGTACGCACTTCGTGTACCCTATAATGTCGGTGTCACAAACAATCACGAGATATGTGAAGACTACTGATCGTCTTTTGCATGGACATATAGCCGTGAACATGTCACACTGTGTACGTGCAAGTTACGCTTTGAGTGTATACTCTGTGTGTACACAATGCGGGTGTATTGCAAGAACAATGTAAATAAACATGTAAATGGATATTTAAAGTATTATCATGCCAATGTGTATATGATGTTATAACGTGCATGGCTTGGGTAATGTGAAATACGTGCGTACGTGTCGACGAGTGTGTGAATGAATGTCTATGTACATACATTATGCATACTGTATGAATGCGTACACGTGTGTACGTGCGCATCGGTGTGTATTAACGTGTACGTTCATGTGTTGTGTGTGCATTAATGAATGTACCGGTGCAAATGCAAATTGTGTGCATCGTGTACCCATGAGTTGTGCATCATTGTGTGCATTGATGTGTGTGCGCGTGAAACCGCGTATGTGGATTCATGTGTACGCATGTATATACATTCTGTGCATTCATGTGTTTATGAATGTATGTATGCATGTGTGTACGTACGTACGTACACGCGTATACATGTGTGTAAACGTGTTCATTCATGTCCGCATGTTTTCGTGTGTGCACGTGTAGACATGTGTGCAGACGTGTGAGAACTTGTGTATGAACGTGTACGCACGCGTGTGCACGTGCATTCACGTGCGCGCGCACGTGAATGCACGTGTTGACGCGTGCAGACGTGTGTGAACGTACGTGTGCACGCGTCTGTGTGTACGTACGTGTGTGTACACGTGTGAACGTGTATACGTTACACAAACAAAACGCGGAGCCATGTCTGGCACCACAATTTCTCTACGGCCCTCGTGTCGAGCAAAAACAAAAAAATCCCAAGCCCACCCAACCCCCACAACAACAACCACCACCACATCGACATCGTAACCTCAAGGCACGGAATGTTTTAGCACGGAGGGATGTGGAATGAAATAATAAATGGCGAGAGGCAGCCGGGACGCGGCGTCTCGCCACGGCTACAACACAAAGTGCAAGACAAAGAACCACACCGGCGACGATTCGTGGCGAGACGCGAATAGCAACAGCAGAGCCACTCCACCACCATCACCATCAGTCTTTAACAACACTCAACATCATCATCCTCATGCCACCATCATAATCATCCCAAGCACACAAGTGATAGACAAAAGAACGAGGGTGGGTGGCGGGGTGAGACGTACGGAGTCGATACTCGACCACTCACTTTAACCACTACCTACCATCGCAGCAAAGCCTTCCAACACCCTCGCCCACCATCATCATCACGATGCCATCATCACCATCGCAAACACACAAGCGATAGACAAAAGAACGGGGCCATGCCGTGGTGAGACGAACACAGCCCCGCAGTGTCTCAACTCTCAACCGCGCAACCACCATCATCATCATCACCACCACCAGTCTTTAACAACATTCACCCCCATCATCAATCACAAACTCACTCGGTTTAAATGTAATAACACTCTTTATACACCGCCCGACCTCCTCCCCGCCAGTCTAGAGCTTTTCCCACAATCGGGTCGCGTTGTTGTTGTATGTTTCGTGATACATATGCGCGCGTGTTTATGTACAATTAAAACACACACACAGGCACACGATAATCATTAAGCTTCTAGGCGATCAAAGAGAGAACGGGAGAGAGAATAGTCACGAGCAGAGTGGGGAGAGAAGACCAGGCGACCGACGAGAGAGGGAAGAAAAATGAAAGGTTACGGGAAATAAATCGACGGTAAATACAAGAGAAGGGAGGCGATAGGGGAGAAAAAGAGACGAGAGAAGACGAGTGGGGAAGGGCCAAGACGGAGGGAAGGAAGCAAGGGGAGAGTGGGAAGATCGCCGCGAGAGCCACGAGAAGGAGGAGGCGGGAGTCGTCCCCGCGTGTTTCAAGTTCTCGGCACCGGGGCCCGGCAACGGCCGCCGAGCCTCGCGCTCGCCTGGCCGCGCCGGCCGGCAAAGCGGCGCGTGGGCCCGCGGGGGACTCGGGGGGGGGGGGGGTGCCGACCGACTTCTCTCCCTCCCCTGCCTCCCTCCCTCTACCCGTCTCCCGAGCCCGGCGGATCTCACTCTCAAACGCCTGCATGAAGAGGTCGTGGTCCGCCTGTATCTGCTCCATGCTGGCCTTCTTGTTGCAGGAGGCGAGCGCTGAGGAGGCCGTGGCCGAGGAGGAGGAGGCGGCCTTGCCGCTGGCGTGTTTGTTGGGGGCCATGCTGCTGCTGCTGCTTCTTGCTGCTTCGTCTTCCCGCGGAGCGCGACTCCCTCTCCCCTCCTCCTCACGGTCTGGCGGCGGAGACGAGGGGGGAGACGAAGGGAGGAGGGAGCGGGAGGAGGGAGCGGGAGGGGGGCACCGTGAAGGCGAGCGAGAGGGGGCGCCGTGCGAACCGCGGGGGTCGGGAGGTGGGGGCGATGTGGGGGGTGGTGGGGGGGGGTGGCCGAGGGGGTGAAGGAGGCGCTGGTGGTGGTGAAGGCGGTGACCAAGGGGGTGAAGGCGCTGGTGGTGGTGGTGGAGGCGGTGGTGGTGGTGGAGGGGGTGAAGGCGACGGTGGCTGATGTGAATATCGATAGCCTTGAAAGTTGTGGAGATGGTGGAAGGGATGGTGATGATGGTGGTGATGGTGGTGGCGCAGATCGTGGCGGTGGAGTTGTTGAAGGTAGTGGTGGTGGACGAAACCGTTTCAGGATGGAAGGTGGTGGAGGTTGTGATGGCGGGGTGATGATGTGATAGGACGGAGCTGGTGGAGGTGAGGTGGTAGTTAATAAACGCCGGTGGTGAGAGGGGAAGGGATGGGTAGTGGCGACAGAAGGCGGCGGGGTTGTGCTTCTGGTTAACGTTTAATTGTGATGATTAATGGGGAATTGTGTCGATGACTAACATCGTGGAGTTGTGCTGATGATTAACGTGGTGGTGGTCGAGTTGTAGTGCTGGTGGTGGCCGTGTTGGTAAAGTTGTGCTGATGATTAAGGTGGTGTTGTGGTGGTGGAGTTGCTGATGATTAAGGTGGTGGTGTTGTGGTGGTGGAGTTGTGTTGATGATTAAGGTGGTGGTGGAGTTTTTTGTCGTGGTGAAGTTGTGGTGGAGTTGTGTTGATGATTAATGCGGCGGTGGAGTTGTTGCTCATGATTACGGTGGTTGGTGGTAGTAGTGGTGGTGGTGATGGACGCGGAGGAAGAAGCAGCTGCTGCTGCTGGTGGTGGTGAGGGCGAGTGGTGGTGAGTGACTGCGAGAGACCGACCCTGCCTCGGGGGCTCTGGCTGCTGGCGAGCAGCAGCAGGAGGTGCGATGGGGGCGGTCGCTCTCTCCCTGCGGTTCGGTCTCGGGTCCAGTCCACGCCAATGCTCTGGTGGCACGAGGTTTAGAGGCGCTGCCCTCCTGCCAGAGTCTCTGTCTCTCCTTCTACTCGTCTGTCCTGTAACTTCACGTCTCCCCGTGTCTCTTCCTCGTGGCTTGTGCTTACCCCCGGCCTGTTCCCCTCTCGCCTTGCTTGCTGCTTGTCGCTGGCTGCCTCTCTCGTCTGTCCCCGTGCTGTCCCTCTTGCTACGTGTCCGTCGGTGTTGTCTCCCTCCCAGTGTCTTGCGCTCGCTATCACTTCCTGCTGCTCTGCGTGTCTCTGTTCCTTTGTCAATGCCACCGCATGTATCACTTCCTGATATGGGTTGTGTCTTTGTGCGATTCTCCCCGATACCCCCCCCCCCCGTCTGTCCTTCTCACCCTGTCAATATGCTTGTGTCTCACGTGCCACTGATGGGCCCTGTCCGTCTCTCAGCGTCTGTCTTTCTCGTTGTGTCTCCCCCCCAACATATGCATCTGTCACTCCGATTGCCAGTGTCCGTGTGTGTCCCCGTCTGTCCTATCTCTCCCCCGTTTGTCTTAACCCTTTATGTCCTTCTGTCTCTCTGCCTTTGTCTGTTTCTCCCTCCGTGCGGATCTTCCCTGTCCTCGCTCTCCCGTATGTGTTCCCTGGTCTCAGGGCTCTCTCGTTGTGTCTCCCCTTGTCTCACGCGTGTCTCTCTGTCCCTGTGTCTCTCTTCCTACGTCTCTCTGTACCGTATATATGTATACCCTTGTCCGTCTGCCCCCTGTCTGTCTCCTTGTCTTCGTGTCTCTTCCCTGCACTGCCCCCGATGTCTCCTCCGTTCGCGTTTCCCTGTTCGTGTCCCTCCGCCTGTCTCGGTGCGACTCGCGGTCACCTTGCCCCTGCCTCTCCCTCGGTGGATCTCTGCCCACTCTCGTCTCTCTGTCTGTCTGTGTGTCTGTGTGTGTCTCTGTGTCTGTCTGTGTGTGTCTCTGTGTCTGTGTGTGTCTCTGTGTAACAGGAGGGAGCAACGGGCCGCGTCTCTGCTCTCCTCTCCGCCCCGATCCAGACGCGAATTCGCGGGAACGCGCGCACGGCATGCTGGGTCGCGTGCGCGCGCGAGCGTGCACACGCACGCACGCGCACCGACTCACACGCACAGGGCGCGTGTGTGTGTCAGCGCGTGTGTGTGTCAGCGCGTGTGTGTGTGTGTCAGCGCGCGTGTGTGTGTGTCAGCGTGTGTGCGTGTGTGTCAGCGTGCGTGTGCGCGTGTGTGTCAGCGCGCGTGTGTGTGTCAGCGCGCGTGTGTGTGGGGGCGCGTGTGTGTGTCAGTGCGCCGCCACGTGGGGTCACAACAGCGGCGCGCGCTTTTGGATATGTGTGCGTCTGGACGTGTGTGTGTGCGTCTGGACGTGTGTGTGTGCGTCTGGACGTGTGCGGGTGTAAATGCCTGGTGTGCGGTGTGGGTCAACACCAACTCTAGGGAGACAAAGACGGCCGAGTGTGGGATCTCGCCACACCACCCCGCTAATAGCATTTCCCCCCAACAGCCTGGTTAAAGGTGACATGGGAGCTCCGGATATGTGGGTCATTGTCCACCCCAGCCCCTAGATCGACTCACCCTTAAAGGAGTACCTGGTACCGGGTGTAAACATCAGCACTGGGGATACAAAGGCGGCGCGGGCGTGCCTCTAGCTCCAACATCCAGTCGTGCGCCTGTCATGGATTCTTAATAGGTGCTCACTAACAACAGTCCTTCCCGTGTTAAGTCTGCCAATATGATATACCGGGAGATCTCTGTATGTGTGTGTGTGGTAAGAGAGTAGATTAAGATGAATGCGGAATCAAGATGTTAACCTATTATGGATATCCTGCCTGACCCCTATCAGATGGTGGTGTGCATACAGTCCTCGAAACAGTGACCCTTTGGTCGTTATATGGAAAACATTACTCCGTCATAGGAATGTGGAATGAGCGCCGCCCTGTCGTTTGATCTCTAACCTGTTCACGTGTATGTGTATAACCATACCTACGCACCTTGTGTTGTGAATGCAGTCGCCCAATGTGTAAAGTGGATTGACATGTACAGTATATAACAGTATACAGTACATGTTGATATATATGCTGTGTGTAATGTTATGACCTATAGGTGAACACATGTTAAACATTGTAATACATATGACGTGTGCATGCCCGTATTTCGTGTCCATGTATAACGCTCAATCGATAATCTATACAATACTGTCAATAATCAATACATTATATCGACATGCACGTAACCCTATAGTCTATCCAGTCTTTATATAACAGACTGGATATTCTGTCTGACATGCTTATAGATGTACATCATATAACTTTATGGGATACACATAACCCCATAGACACAACCCTCTGCACATGCTTACTTTGTGCATTAACTAACGGAGGCAATGACGGATCGATCATCTCTCTACGTGGCATCACAGCTGTCAAATATCAATACGAGAGCGCCAGCACACGACGACTGTGCAAGCGAGACCGAGAGAGATGGACGCACAGTGCATAACCACCGTAGAGACTGGACGTGTACAAGCAGGCTGGTGATTGCAGCAAGGCGTAATATACACCGACGAGTGTACACACTTCATGAGTGACAAGCTGGCGTGTACATACTATACAGGACACGCGTCTATAGAGCCCCTTTAATACATAACCCCATGCAGGAATTAATATGTAAATCTATAGCCCCGTGTATGTTGTATACGCGGAAGTCGGTGAGTTGCAATACACTAAAGTGTATCATTACATAAACACTTGCCTTTGCGGTGCATGTATGTATGTGATTTTTGTTAATTCTAAACGGGCACTGTTTGCAGGAGCTGACCATTATGTATACATTCAATTGTCATTGCATTGTATTGAAACGCCCGAACACAATACCAAATGCAAAAAAAAAGAAAAAACATCAAACTCTACGAATTTACATTGTCAAGATAATTATTCGCACATCTAATATTAATGTTAACTGCACGATGGGCGTTCACCTGGCTAAACGCACGAATCCTCTCGATCAGGCAGTAGGTGGATTCGTTCAGAACCTGTCGTGTACACATACATGCACGTGCGGAGACGAGACACGTGTACACGTGTGCACACGCGTGCGCGCACACGTGTGCACACGTGTACACGTGTGCACACGCGTGTGCGCGCACGTGGCTTGGCGTGCGCTGGAACGAAAAAAGGACGCCAGGCTCAGTGCGTGTAATTACCACTCCAATTAGTTGGGGATTTCAATCCCATTAACGGTCATAACGGGATTTGAGACTGGGTAATTGATAGTGTTCGGTTTAGGGGGTAGTGTCAGTAACAGGGTTAGGGGGTGTGCTTCGTAGGGGGAGTGGAATTATATAAATATTGTTTTAGAAGGTGGGGGGGGGGGTGAAACTCGAACGCTGCGCTTATTGCAGTTGCACCCCCCCACAATGTTCTGAGCGTTTCGGTAAGCGGCCGTCTGTGGTGCCGGGAGCCCCCCACCCACGAGCCGGCAGAAGCAGCTGGAGAGCGAGCGAGGAGGGTCCGTCCCGTTCCGCGCGCACTGCGATGTCGAGAACGACCGCTGCCCTGCACGCGTTTACCCAGCCGGGGCTCGACAAGCGACAGCCACGCGCCACTCGACGCCTTTTTTCTCGGTCCGAAACAAAAAGAACGGGCGCACGCGGGAGCCCAAGTCGCGTCGCTTTTGTTCCCCGTTGGAGCGAACGAAAACAGAACGAATACTCGCGAGCGAGCCGCGGAAACGCTCCCCCAAGGGCGACGTTGAGCCACGAATAATTAGCGCAGTGCCGAGCCGGGTCGGTCCGGACGGCCACCTTCACCGATATCGCACGATACCGTGACGCGTGTTCGCGACACACACACACATACACACGCATGCACTGCAGCCCCACAATAGCGAACCGCGGGGACCCCCCGCGTGGAGCGCGCTGACGTCACCGCGCGCGGTGAGGATGAGTGGAGGAGTCGCGTGGTGAGGATGAGTGGTGAGGATGAGTGGAGGAGTCGCGTGGTGAGGATGAGTGGTGAGGATGAGTGGTGAGGATGAGTGGTGAGGATGAGTGGAGAAGTCGCGTGGTGAGGATGAGTGGTGAGGAGGAGTGGAGGAGTCGCGTGGTGAGGATGAATGGAGAAGTCGCGTGGTGAGGATGAGTGGTGAGGATGAGTGGAGGAGTCGCGTGGTGAGGATGAGTGGTGAGGATGAGTGGAGGAGTCGCGTGGTGAGGATGAGTGGTGAGGAGGAGTGGAGGAGTCGCGTGGTGAGGATGAGTGGTGAGGATGAGTGGAGAAGTCGCGTGGTGAGGATGAGTGGTGAGGAGGAGTGGAGGAGTCGCGTGGTGAGGATGAGTGGAGAAGTCGCGTGGTAAGGATGAGTGGTGAGGATGAGTGGAGGAGTCGCGTGGTGAGGATGAGTGGTGAGGATGAGTGGAGAAGTCGCGTGGTGAGGATGAGTGGTGAGGAGGAGTGGAGGAGTCGCGTGGTGAGGATGAGTGGAGAAGTCGCGTGGTGAGGATGAGTGGTGAGGATGAGTGGAGAAGTCGCGTGGTGAGGATGAGTGGTGAGGAGGAGTGGAGGAGTCGCGTGGTGAGGATGAGTGGAGAAGTCGCGTGGTGAGGATGAGTGGTGAGGATGAGTGGAGAAGTCGCGTGGTGAGGAGGAGTGGTGAGGATGAGTGGAGGAGTCGCGTGGTGAGGATGAGTGGTGAGCGGAGCGCATGAGGGGTCTCACCGCCACGAGGGGCTGCTGCTGCTCCTGCTGCTACTGCTGCTGGTGGTTGACGATGATGCTCCAGCGCTAACTCTTAACTCCCAGAACCAACCAAACACCACCACCACGTTCAACATTACTCCCGATTAACACGCACCATCATTTTAATCGCCCAATATGCGGCCAGATGGCAGTGCAGTCATGGATTCTTGAATCTGTCTGTGCGGAGTTGTGAGTGCTTCCCCGCCTTCGTACGCATTGGTGGGCAGGCTGTCTCTCCCGCTTGCTTCCACACGAATCCAAACTCTCGTGAATGGGATTGGCCAAACATCCCAATGTGGCAGGACCCTCCTGAAAGGAGCCTTGAGTCTCAATGAGTTTCTCCTGGGTCCAAGGGCATTGCTATTTCAACCGGCGTGCGGACACCACACGCACTCGTCACGCGTCACGCATATGTTCTGTATAAGTGTGGAGGGTAATGCATGCAATGGCCATTGGCTGAGAACACTCAGCATATTTCTCTTTTCAGAATCACAATCATTTCTGCTGGAGGAATCCGATAAGAGCTATAAACCTTTTTTCACAGATATCCAGTAGGGGCGGGTCAGAAAGTTACCAAACAACACAAAACACGATAGGAGTGCTAAGTAATGGAAAACAAATCACTTTTTTAAAAATCTAAAATTAAGTATTTGTATTCATTTTACCAGGTAAAGCCCACTGATCTGTCGGCTTCCTTGTCAGAAGCGACCTGGCCCGCAAATGAAAGCTGAACGAAGTTGCTTATCGTCTGGCAATGTATAGCAGCCAAATAATCCAACTCGCCCTCCACGCCCGTTTCATCACAAGCGCTCACGCCTCGCATCGTCGCCTAGACCGTAGCGACGGCTCTCGGGGTGGACTGCATGTTGCAGTACTACGCAGCCCCAGCAGGCACGCCGTGTTCCACCACCACCACGAGCGAATGCAGTATACACAATGAACGATAGGCTGCTGCTGCTGCCGCCACGCAGCACCGCGAGCCCCTCTGAGCCAAGGGTTTGCTGGTTGTGCTGGGAGCAGTGCTGTTTGTGTGCGTACGCACAGGGTACGGGATGGCAGAAGTCGCTCACGGACAACGCCAGTGACGATTATCTGAACCCGGTCATGGGCGACCCCGAGGTCGACTCATCCTCAAACGAGTACCTGGTGTGGTGTGTAAACATCGCCACTTGGGGAGACAAAGGCGGCCGGGCGTGGTGTCGGCCACCCACCCCCGTGTGCTCTTCCAGCGTTCATACGTGCTCGCTAACAGCACTTGCCCCAATAATCTGTTGAGGCTATACGGG